AAAAATTGTGCAACTCATGCTATGAGCCGGGCACCATATTTCTGTTCGCCCAGCCTAATGCAGAATCCGCATTGCGGATAGAAGGGATACCCTAGTTATTAATACTAGGTACATACCTAGTTGCCCTCGTTATCGAGTTAGGTATGCAGCGGGTCTTCCTAGTCACAGTTCGCTTAACGTGGTGCAGGCGCCATTTCAGTATCTCCCCTCTCAAGTGCAAGCTTTCAACCTGCACAGCGTACCAGCCAGATTCCCCGGGTTGACACAACAATGTGGACTCGCAGCGTGATCATCTCCGCATTTGCTTTCGTTGTCCCTTGTATTCGTGCGGTTGTGGAGATTAGTGACGTGCTACTAGACAGCAACAACTCATTACCAACCCAGGTCAGACCGTTGCCACCCGCAGAAAGTATATCTCGGCATTTGCAGTGCGTAGGCTGGAGAGCTACGAGCAAATGTACCCCCGATGGCCCTCGCGAACCTCAGGACGACAGAAGCTGCGCAGAAGTCATCGCTGGCGGTAGCTCTGGATACTGCGAGGTTGAAGACATGGAATCGGGTGAGCGTTTCCAAGTGATGCGATCACACTGCAACGGACTACAGCACAAAGCGCTTTTTCGCTGCTCGGAGGCCCCATACTTTGCAGGTTTCCGCTCCAATGCCCACGCTGTTGTGCAGAAGGCACAAGTTTCTGGCTTCTCATTGCCAAACGGTGCTAGCAATGGCCAGAGCCCCCGCGACGGAATCGTCATGGTTGTCGACCCTAAGCTCTTAGCAAGCGCCTACGCCGGTATCCGCGTGCTTCGTGATGTCTTGAAATGCCGTTTGCCCATTGAGATCTGGTTTCACAGAGACGAGATCGATCAGGACTTCACGCTACTGGCACCATTACAGAAGCTTTCCATCTATGTCGGGGGAATATCGTTTCACCCAATCTACAACCAGCGCGCTAAGGGAATTCTGTCCAAGGTCTTCGCCATCTACAACAGCCATTTCGACCGCGTGCTGTTCCTGAATGCCGACAACATACCAGTACGTGATCCGACGTTCCTGTTCTCTTCTTTGGAGTTCGAAAACAATGGGGCCATTTTCTGGCCGGATTTCTGGCATCCTCGTCGTACGCTTTTCAATTTACATGCTCAGTCAATGGTGTGGGAACTTCTGGATTTACCGTTTGTTGACATGTTCGAGCAGGAGAGTGGTCAGCTACTAGTGGATCGTACTCGTCATGCTGTTCCACTGGAACTCGTGTACTTCTACGCGTTTAATGAACCGAACTACTTTCAGAAACTGGATCTTGTGCACGGAGACAAGGACCTGTTTCGACTTGCTTGGATAAAGCTCGAGGCTCCATTTCACATGATTGAAACGGTTCCTGCAATGGCAGGTCGGGTCATTAACGGTTCATTCTGCGGAATGACTCGGGTGCAACACGATGCTGATGGAAACGTGCTATTCCTCCACCGCAACCAGCACCAACTCACTGGAGAGCGGGTAGAAAAACCGGTGACGGAGAATGAAAAGACGGGTAGCATGGCGACTCAATCACCAGAGACTGAAAGCAATGGTGAATCTGACGAATACCCGGACCCGGTCATCTGGACGCACCTCATGTCGTTCAGCAAGAACATTAGTAAAGAATTCTACTCGGTAGACTCGTATCGAGCGTCGCCGGAGTTCCCGCTGGGGCAACCATGCTACGGTCGCAGACATATCGACAACCTTGAATTCTTCGAACTGCAAGAGTTTTCGAAGCAGGAATTTTCGGGAATTGAATCGGATTTGAGGCATTACGCTTTTGAGGCGACAAAGCGGCAATAGGACAAAAAAACAAGTGTTTTTTGCGCATTTTTTTGGTACCGTAAATTGCCACCCTACCCATTTCAAGAATTAATGTATCCAAAAGTAAATCTGAGTAACTCAAATAGTAAATCAGAGTAATGTAGGCTTCATAACTGTGCAATCGGTGTAGTTCCCACATCCTTAACAAGGGTTCCTTATCATGTCTTATTCAGCTTATCCCTCGTAATCCCGTGATATGGTCCAGGGTCGTCTGGTTGTTCAGTCAGCTGATTCCGTCCGTGACGCAGGATAGGATGACAGAGCACTCGGAGCACTCTGCCGTGTGTTCGCACACTCGCATATTCACTTGGTGCTCGGCACTTCGACGTCATGGTGGACACGGCCATCAAGTTGCCTGCTTCGCCACGAAAATGCCGCCAGGGTATGCTGCGTCTCATGTTGGTGGGTAGTGTGTGCTACACCCTTGTCATGTTACTGTGGGTCGTCAGTAGCGTCCACGACATCTCGTCTACCTCCAAAAGCCTTCCCTTGTCAATTGTCCACCTCTTCACTAATGGACAACACACTCCCACCCTCGAGGAATTAGAAGCGGAGGCCCATGCATTAACGGTTAAGACTCTACCAGGTGGGGCGAC